ACCTTACCTTCACTAGAATGGCAATGATTAAAAAAAAAAAAAGAAAGAAAGAAACAAAATGGAAAACAACAGGTGTTGGCAAGTGTAGAGAAATTGGAACCCTCATCTATTACTGTTGGGAATGCTAAATGGTACAGACACTGTGAAAAATAGTTTGGCAGTTTCTCAAAAAGTTGAACATGGAACTACCATATAACCCAGCAATCCCAACCCAAAAGATTTGAAAGCAGGATCACAAATAAGTTGCAACATTATTCACAATAGCCAAAAGATGGAAATAACCTAAATGTCCATCAATAGATGAATGGGTAAACAAAATGTAATACATATGATCAGTGGAATATTACTCAGACATAAAAAGAAATGAAGTTCTAATAGATGCTACAATATACGTTGTTGTTATTAGGTGCTTTTGAGTTGGTTCCCACTCATAGTGACTCCATGTAGAACAGAACGAAACCCTGCCCACTCCTATGCCATCCTCACAGTCATTACTATGCTTGAGCTCATCGTGGCAGCCACTGTGTCATTCCATCTTATTGAGTGTCTTCCCCTTTTTGGCTGAGTGCCTAAGGTATTTGACTGCTAACCAGAAGGCTGGCAGTTCAAACCCACCAGCCATGCCTCAGAAGGAAGGCTGGGCAATCTACTTCCATAGTGATACTGCCTCGGAAACCCAAGGAGAGGTCACTATGAGTTGGATCCAACTCCACGGCAGTGAGTTTGTTTTTTTTTTAAGCATAAATGATATCCTTCTTCAGGGACTGGTCCCTTCTGATAGCACGACCAAATTACATTGACAAAGTCTGTCCTTTCTTGCCTCTAAGGAGCTTTCTGGCTGCACTTCTTCCAACAGATTTGTTTACTCTTCTGTAGTCCATGGTTAATTTCAGTATTCGTCGCCAACACCACTATTCAAATGCATCAATTCTTCTTTTATCTCCTTATTCATGGCTCAGCTTTCACACGCATATAAGGCAATTGAAAATACCATGGCTTGGTTTAGGCACACTTTAGTCTTCAAAGTGACATCTTTGCTTCTTAACACTTTAAAGAGGTCTTTTGCAGCAGATTTACCCAGTGCAATACATCATTTGATTTTTTGACTGCTGTGTCCATGGGTGTTGATTGTGGATCCCAGTAAAATGAAAAACCTGACAACTTCAAGCTTTTCTCCGTTTATTGTGATGTTGCTTATTGGTCCAGTTAGAAGGATTTTTGTTTTCTTTCTGTGGAGGTGTAATCCATACTGAAGACTGTAGTCTTTGATATTCATCAGTAAGTGCTTCAAGTCTTTATTTTCAGCAAGCAATGTTGTGTCATCTGCATATCGCAGATTGTTAATGAGTCTTTCTCCAGTCCTGATATCACATTCTTCTTCATATAGTCCATGTTCTTGGATTATTTGCTCAGCATTCATATTGAATAAGTATGGTAAAAGGATACAACCCTGACATACACCTTTCCTGATTTTAATCCATTCAGTATCCCCTTGTTCTGTTTGAACAACTATAACATATATGAACCTTGAAAACATTATGCTGAGTGAAATAAGTTGGTCACAAAGGACAAATACTGTATGATCTTATTTATATGGGGATATTATTCTAGTCCATATACTGGGTAACATGAAAGACAGCCATCTTTAAGAGAGGATCAGAGCAGGAACAGGCTTTGCAGGATGTCTCAGTTGTACAAGCAGCAGCATTGCTTGGGCCATATGATCTGGCAGACCTTATGGTATCTGAGGTACCAGTGGTAAGAAAAGATGCCATGTGAAGATATGGCAAGGCTCCCAGAGTTCTGGAGCAAGCCCATGCCATCTGCAGCAGATAATTCAATGCCTTTTCAGAAACAGGGACAGAGAAGCTGACATATCAAGTGATCATGAGTCGAGAGCTACTTACTATGAACTGGGATCTGTCAGGCTCACCACATCATAATGTTCAGTGGGTCCAGCAACTACCATTGTAAGATGGTAATATATCCAAGATAAAGCATGAACAAGAAAGAGCACAAGCAAACTGTATAAACACTTAGTACAGAACCCTGTGTTACCTGCCACTTTTGTGCTAGCACCCCACCCTCAGCTCATCACACTGATGGCTGTATGGATAATGGAGGATTCCTTATGACCACATGACTGAGGAGGAAAAATCCTAAGTCTGGTTTACAGTTGGGTTGGCTAAGTATGTGGTACAAGCCTACATACTTAGTATTGTAGTACTATAAAATCAATGTCGGCTGCACAATAGCCTCACTCAAGGGTAGCCTTGGGAGATGGTGGTGGGGGAAGTCCTCTCAATGAGTAGAACTTGAGTGGTTCATCTAGTCAACTACTTTATAAATACAGAGAAGGTAGCCTGCAATTAGACTATGTATTACTCATCCCCAAAACCAAAACCAAACTCACTCACAGGCAGTGGCCAATGGCTTGGCTAACTGGTCAGGTTCCTGAAGGAGAAAGATTGGAAAAAGACCAGCAAAGAAAGAAGGTCTGGGGTAGTGGCATGTGGATCAACTTTTGGGAATGGGTACAAAGTGTGAAGATCTTTGTATCACATACGAACACCCACCTGAGAACATCTGCACTGAAAAAGAAACGAAATAGTCAAGCAGACAAAATGATTCAGCCATTTATATTAGTCAGCCTGTCATTGGTGATCCCTGTGATGGAGCAAAGGGAAAATGAATAAATGGCCTCAGGGGCAGAGGTGTAGGCCATACATAACACCAATAGAATGGGTTCTCACTTGGCTTATTTAGCAACTTCCACTGCTGGATATCCAACAGAGAATATCTAACTCTAAACCCCCATTATGGGAGTCTCAACCAGTCACTTCATGACAAGTTAATTGTATTGGACTCCTTCTAGCCTGATTTGATCAGACAAGAATAGACACATGCAGACAAGAATATTCCATGTATAGGTTTACCTTTCCTTTCCATAGGGCCATATCCAGTGCTACTATCTGAAGGCTTGTAGTATATCATCTGCTGGCATGGGGCAAAACATAACATTGTGTCAGATCAGGAAACATACTTTACAGAAAAGGAGGTTTAGATGTGAGTCCATGAACATTGGATACACTAGTCATATCATATACTACACAGTTCATAAGCTGCCTGATCATTGGAATGACCTTCTGAAGGCACAGCTGAAGTAACAGTTTGGAAGCAATACTTTATGATGCTCCAAGATAAAGTATACACTTTGAATCAAAGAACCTATTGTTCCCAGTAGGAAGAATATATAGTAACCAAGAGGTCCAAAACCCTATGTGATTTGCCACTTTTGCACCAGCAGGAGTGGCCCCTCTTATCATCACTCCCAATGACCCACTTGGGGAATTTGTGTTTCTTGGCTCCTAAACACTGAGATTCACAATCAGAGCTCTTGGTTCCCAAAGGAGGAATACTTCTGTGAAGGCATACAGCAGGAATCTCATTGAACTATAAACTATATTTGTCATCTGGCCACTTCAGCATCCTTGTGTCTAGGGACTAATAGGCAAGAAGGGGAGTTACCACATTGGCTGGAATAATTGAACCTGATCATCAAGAGAAGATAGCAATGGTATAATACAGTGGCGATGAATATATATTTGGTGTCCAGGGCTCAGAGCACTAATGGGATAGGGTCTGGGTCATGACATGGTAAACTACCAAGAACAGGCAACTACCAAGAGGTGCTAGTACAGGGCGAGAGGAATCTAAAATGAATAGTTGGAGAGGGAGATAATGATTATAAGTTGCAGCCCTGAGATAAGCAGCAATTAAAGAAGCTGTAGTTTATCTCATCAAAATGCCTCTAAGTTTTTACCAGTAAGAAAGACCCTTCAGAGCCCTAGAGGAGCTGCTTTCTGAATGTATTTGAAGAAGCAGAGAGAACAGTACAAAGGTAGAGAGTGATGGATTTGAAATTGTGAGGCCTAGACCTCCTTCAAGGAAGGACTTGTTACCCAACTGCTGGGAGTGCTGCAAGCAGAGAGCCTTCAGCTTGCTGTCCCTTTGGGAATTGCCTCAGCTGTAGAGAGCCTCCTTCCTCACTGAAGATCATACCCATTCCTAGGCAGCCCACATCCAATGACTGACCAACCATAAAGTGAAAGCCTCCACATTTCTGCCAAAAATGCAACAACTCTGACAAGCCATGTTCCTGAACTTCCCCTGGCATTGGCCAAAGCTATCATCAGGCCTACATCACTCCTTGACTTTTCCCTCTTATCTCTGACTTCCTTTTTTTCTACCACAAGGACACTCTAATAAACATCTTGGACACCCTAAACCCCAACACAGAATCTGCTTCCTGGATAACCCAATCTGCAGCACCTACCTTCTCCAAATCAAAGAAAAGAGTATAATATTTTATGGAGCTGAGATTGGGGTTGTTGGTAGTAGAAGAGAATGGAGCATTAGGCTGCTGGTCTATGAAATATGTTCTCTTTTCCCGTACAAATCCTAACTTTCTAAGTTTTCAGATGGTGATCAGAAGCTTTGTCGTGCCCAGATCTTGAATGCCCAAAAACCACCAAGGAGCTGATTCCACTGCAAAAGCATAGGGGTTGTTTATTCAAGCTCGAGCTCGGACCTTCAACCGTCACCAACGCAGCGGTTCAGGATTGAGAGCCCTGAACCCAGGAGTAATGGGGTTTTTATAGGGGGTACAGCAGGAAGGAGGAAGTTTCAATCAGAAAATTACAGGATTGGTTGACATTTTCCAAGTTGCTAGTTGTTCCTACTTGATTGGCTCTGTCTGGTGGGCCGAAGCCACCAACTGTCGTTTCTAACTATTTTAGGTAAGGTATTTCTCTACCATTTACTGACTGGTTGTTGCTAAGGAGAATGCTTGGGTATCAATGAGGTGGGGGTAGTTAGGACTCTTTGTGGTTTTTCCAGTAACTAAGGTACTAAAGCATGGAGTACGTGCTAAGGCATATTGCAAAAATGGCTACATGGTGGTTATATAGAAACATGGCCTCACAGCTTCTCTCCCTCACCTTGAAATTTTCTCTGTCTTTCACTTCTTCATTCCCATCTGCACTTTCTGCCATGTCTGCCTCCCCTATTCCCTGGGATCTACCACCTGTCCCTATAAAACTTACAAACTTCTAACTCCTTCTTGGGACTTTGTAGCCTTAATATGCTTAATATCATTTTCCTCACTAGATTGACGTTGGCTCTACAGAAGTGAGGCATGACTTCTAGTCTCAGAATCTTCTAGATATGATTGGAGAGTGAATGGGAAATGAGCGGAGGGGAGCAAGACTGTAACCTTTCTTTTCAATGCCTTACAAACAGAGACACTGGTGGCTTTTGTTTTGGATTATCTTTTCAAGGATATTCCAGCTGTGGAAGACAGAGATAGTGTCTTTGTCTTGATCAGAGAGTAGATTTGTTTGCTGTCCAATATAATAAAGAAAATGTCTTCCTCTAAGGCAAAATTTGAGTAGGTTTGCTTGTAGCCCATTGTAAAAGATTGGGATTTCTTAAGCTCGAGGTTCTCATCTACGATGGAAAGCCACTGCATGCACAAAATTCACCTGATTCATCCTCTACGTCACCCCCAAGGGACTTGGGGTATGAGAGGAAGCAACGCATATGTAAACCTCATGCTGCCTACTGTACTATGAGTAAAAAAATCCTTTGTCTCTAATCCAGGAATCTTGTGTCTTCTGCCAGCACACATAAAACTCTGGCAAGCTAACTCATTAGCGTGCAAGTAGGATAAAAAATCTTAGATTCTTCATAGCTCTTGACAGTTTTGTCCCATGGAAAAGAATAGGGTTGAGGAGTTTCCACCCCAGCAATGACTGAGATTCTTTTAAAACAAATGTGATCAAGCACCCATCCACCTCAATGTTTAATTTTTTTCAACATAATCTCTGTGCACAAGACTTATATTTCTTCTGTCAACCTAATTTTGATCTTATTTATTGTAAACTAATAAGTCACGCCTTATGTTAAAAGAACAAAGAGCATCTTCCTTGACCTGGGCTAAATTATAAAGCATTTTGACATTAAGTAGCAATAAAAGCACTCTGGTCAAATTGCTGCTCCCTATCCCTGAGTTTCTCCCCTAATTACAGAAAGGGTAATGTAGAGGTAATTGTCTCAGCTAGCTCTGCCTTGCTGAAAAGATTAGTGGTATACTTATATATATATATGACAAATATGAGGTGATAGTGGAATACCCAGCTAGGAATTTCCAATAAGTCCTTGGATAAAACTTGAGAAAAATTTCAAAACTAGAGTGTGGTGGTTATGTTGTGTGTCAACTTGGCTGGGTCTGTTTGAGTGGCTGGGCAGCTTGTGGTAGTTATTCCCCATGATGAGACTGGCAATCAACTCATGGTGGGATCTACCACAAACAGCTGAGTAGATGCCTTTGGGATGTGGTCCACTGCCTGTATATAAGGAGAAGCCTTGGGAGTGGTTTCTAGCCTGTGGCATGCTTGCACCCTGCATGTAGCCGTGTCATTGCTCAGCGGCCTGCTATGCTCTGCCGACCTTGGGACTTAACAATGGACTTAAGTTAATGGCCTGCCATGTGGTTTGGTAACATCAGG